GCAGGACTGCGCCAGAAAGAAATGTCATCGGCTGTTCTCCAACCGAGTAAAGTGATTGACTATGGACATACTGGTAAATATACTGGAGGGGTTGGGGATGAGATTGGAAGGACCAGTGGCAGTAGAGCTCACAGCGGTGGAAGTATGTTGCCGATGGACACTTACGATGGTACCAGACACAATCTAGATCCACTGCCAAAAACTACAACGGAGGCGAAAAGCAGAGCCTTGGGTTCTTCACATGAGCAGGCGACTTCTGTTCCCAGTCTCAGGACTTCGTACAGTTCAGTACTGAAGTCTGTGGCTCCCCCAAGCAATGATCAGACCAAACGATTGCAGACTTCCAAACCTGTTCCGTTAAAAGAACCACAGGCACATCACCAGTCAGCATTAAAGACCAAACCAACCAGCACTGTGGTGCATGGTGTGCACCCCAGCCGGCCTGGCCTTGTGCTCATTGGCAGTAATGACACCAGGGGCTCTAAGGATCAGAGTAAAACTCAAGTTCAAGGGTCAACAGTTGCTGAGCAGATGAAAAAGCAAAAGACCCAGCAGCAGAGGCTGAAAAGGCAAATGAGGCAAAAATTGAAGCGGCAGCAGAAAAAGATGCAAAAAGAGCAAGCATCGCACACGGGGCAAGCGATGGGGCCTGCTGCAATATCAGTTCCCCCTGCTTCACTCATCCCCAGCCTCTCTGATGCCTCATGGGCCATGCAACAACCAGGCAATCCTCGCCCCATCGTCATTCCTCCAGCTCTGTCTCAGTCTTTCTCAACACTGAGCAAGCAGCCCACAGCAAAGGTCTCCAAGCATCTGCCAACACTGGCCATGATGCATGACTATGCAGCGGCCTCACCGAGAGTCTTTCCACATACCTGTTCTCTGTGTTACAAAGAATGTACTCATATGAAGGTGAGTGGAAGACTGTACTCTGTTCTGTCTCCTTTAGGAAATTGTGAGTTGTTAATTTCAATATCTAAAATTCTTGTTCTTTTTGATTGTAAAATACATTTTTTATTTTCTTGGGAAGTACTGAAGAGTTTTAAATCAAATATTCTTTTAATTTCCATGTATAAGTAATTACAATAAAATGCTAGTAAGAAACCGTACCACAATATACATTCTGTGTACCAAGCTTGGACTGCAAAGTTTGGTAGCGATTGTTTAACCTTGTTAACTGATTTTGTACTAAAATTTTGTACTAAAGTTTATTGTCATTTGTAATTCAGTTACAATGCCTGATTTATACTTGATTTTGTTCACTTGAAACTGTTCACATTGTCTCGTTTGGACAGATGAAATCATTGTAACAGCAATTGCCCGATTTACTGTGATGAATAAGTGATTATAATTTCATAAAAAATAATGAGGTGTGGCCAACTTCTGAGACGGTTGTAGAACATGGAGTTCTGCAAATCTGAAAGAAAGAAGTGCATCAATGTTTGCTTTTTTTATATTTGATTTTTTAAACTTTTTTTCTCGCTATTGTAGTGTAATGGATCTTTTTAGTTTCATTTCATATCTAACAGTAGGTATCACTTTTCACTTTTTCATAATGCTGGCTATTGTTATGGAGCTAAGATTCCCCCTTTTTGGGATTTTTGTGACCCCAAAAGGACTTTCAATCACCGCTATACCACCTCCAACCATCATACTTCCTGGACCACACAGAAAGTGTCTTGCATTTTACATTTTGGCAAACTAAAAAGACACACCAACTTCCTCCTCTCCCCAGTTTCTTCATCTTCCCGCCTCTTCTCCCGATGTCACAGCTTGTGTGTTTTGTGTTCTGATTAATACTTGATCTCACTATCAAGAACCTGAGAAGAAGAGCTTTTTATTTTGGTTGCTTGTTACTGGCACTGGTCTTGATGGACTTGATAGACTCTTGAAAGACTTACTGCCTTTGAACTTGAAGGAAAGAGTTGCCAACATGCTAAAAGTTTGAATGTTTTGTTCATAATATACTTGTTATCACTACTCTTTGGCTCATGCCAAAGTCATCATTTAAACATTTTATGTACTGTTTGTTAATGTCTCAGCTCCTTACTCAATGTTGTTCCTTTTTGTATTTTGGATGACTACTGTTAGTACAGATGCTTTTGTGGACTTGCTCTTCTATACATCAACACAAACTGTTCAAGCACTTGTACAAGAGCCGAGAAATGGATTTGGATACTTGGACTCCTCAACAGACCAACAAGACACAAACATTGGAGATTTAACGAACTAAAGGCTGCTGTAATGCTGAATAAAAGAGATATCTGTGTTGTCAGATAATGCCAAAAATGGCAGTTCATATATTGAAGTAGTTAGCAGGTGTGTTGATAAAAATATCTAAATGCTGTGTGTCTATTGTTCTGAATACTAGGATTGGCTCTCCCACCAGAACACCAACCTTCACCTTGAGAGCTGCAATCTCCTCCGAAAAAAGTCAGTCTTTTTTCTTTTAACCCTGGTTAACTCTTCCTTTGTTTTTGTTTTTTGATAACATTTGCCTCTTTTATACTTTTGGAGAATGCCAACTAGTGATGTTCAAGAATATTGTAGAGGAAATAATGGACAGAAAAACAGAAGTTGTTATAGTCGACACAACCTGCAAGCTCATTGCTAAAGACCTCTAAGCAGTCTACCTTGAAGTATCTTTATTGAACTTGTCAGGTTAAATATATTCTTTAAAAATGTATATATTTTTCTTTTTCTGCAGATACCCAGATTGGAATGGTGAGATAGCGCTCGCACCCAGGTATATTTCTTAATCTGGACAGGGACTATGATCTTTTTGATCTTATATGTTGTGTTAACTTACAAAACACATTTCCACAATCCACCTTTCTGCCACTGTACTAAAACATACCATTATTCTTTCTTACGCTCGCCAATGCTGTTGCTCTTTGCAGGACTGCAAGTAAAGGTGTCAAGCCTGCGGCCTCAACCTCTGCACAGACTTCCCAGTATCGCCACAAGAAAACCAACCATGAAAGTCGCTCCCGTTCCCACTCGTTCAGCCCCAGCGTCCAGGGTAGAAGGGAGAAAAACCAATCACAATCACCACACAGTTCCAGATACACCCACAGGTTTGACGCACATAATTTTGACATGAACAATAACATGGCTGAATACAAGAGATACCACTCACCACCATTTTGTGAAATAACTTATGTCATTCTGCAGAACATTAAAACATCTGCCTTAACTTCAACATTAGTTTGGCAATGGTTTAAAGTATCTTTTCAATTAATTAAAATTATTTAATCCGTACTTTCACCAGGTCTCGGTCCCGGTCTCGTTCTCACTCCCCACGATATGACCGCCCGACCTCCTTCCGCTATCGGTCACGTTCAAGAAGCCCTGCGAGACGATTGTTGCCAAGGTTGAAAGATGAGAAATGGTCCTCACCCAGGAGGAGTGGCGAGAGAAAATCATCTCCAACATGGAGTCGTGAAAGAAGATCATCATCATGGAGGAGTGATGACAGACAATTGTCACCATGGAGG